CACAAGGTTAACGTCCGATGGACATCGCCTACTGTCAACCTATTATTGGTCGAATACTATGAATCTGTGACCATCTTTCTACGCATATGAACATTACTGCATCTAAGTCAAAAACGGCTGAGTCATTTGAGTGTAAAATGGGGTTGACCAACCTCGTTCCCAGGGTCTCTCATCTTACCGCCCCTCTCTTCGCTCGCTCCAGGGGGCGGTAAGATGAGAGACCCTAGGAACGAGGTTGGGGGTTGGCTAGCCTACACGACTTCTACGGTTCGTGACACTTGTAGATTTGCCGTTCTCTGTTCGGTCACTCGACCTTTCTTGTCGCTTCACTCGTGTTCATGAAGGGCACTTCATGTTGCGTAATAAGGAGGAATTTTAAGTTGTTATCTTGGAGTTTATATCTTACTGGCTTTTCCAAAATATCTGGGAACTTCCAAATTGGAAAATTCCAAATTCAAAACTATTGAAATAAAAAAGAGTGCTTATAAATCATCTAAAAGCATTTCCTAGCCAACATGTCCCCAGTAGACACATTAACGACATAAACAAAAGTATAGGAAAAACGCAAGATTTTGATATTCTTATGCTTATGCTTATGTCGCGGCCGTCCATTCACCTATTGTTTATACAAATATTACTTGGCGAGAGAATCTTTTTTTATTACAAGGAATTTGCGTGAAGACTAGATCAGAGAGTTAAAAGGATTGCGTGTGAAACGATCTTGGATTTTTTTTTTTTTGTATCTTTGACGACGATCCAAGGTGATTTTCACAAGCATTCAAACGGGCGACTGACTGAGTCTTCACATATAGCCTTGCATGAGCTTTATAACATATTGAAGTAATTTTACCTCCTTATAGTATTACTTTTCCTTATGTTCGTCCTGCATGGCTCGAAGAGAGCCAACTAAGTTAGTAGAACTTAAGTAGCCGGAATTCTACTAGTATACTAATGCAAATGCTGCAATCTGATTGGCTGAGCTATCGTACAATATTATGCAGCCAGAAGTATGCAGTTGCCGCAGGCCGTAAACGAAATAGCAATGTTTTCTTGTTTCTCGGAAGTTTTGGGTGAACATTTAGAAACAAAGGGATAATCTAATTGCAGAGAACACTCAAAGAAAGATATTCACGGCTTCTGGACTTTCCTAAAAAACTCGAAATTGTTAAGCAAATTGATGAGCGCGCGCACCGAAGTTTGAAATTCAAGTGACAATGCAGTCCTCACAAGTTCTCTAAACGCGAAGATTATTACAAAGTAGGGAAATTGTTGGAAATAGTTCATTGAAAGAAATTTCGTTTGGAACTTTACTAAAACAATTACACTATTCGCTCTCGATTTCTATGCAAGTATCATCTCACAGAAATCTTGAGCCCAGTATAATGTTATTTTTCTTTAATTTGTTGTGGTGTATATCAAATCCGATAATTTGGTTGATCAAGGTGCTGTTAATTAGCTTTCCGCAGATGGTCGTGGTTGCAGCTGTGTTGTTCTAATTCAGGATTCAATAAGGAACATTCCTTCCCATTTAAATGTAGTAACAAAGTCACATATGCCTGATGCCTGAGGGGTGAAAGAAAAATGAAAGGCGCCATTAAAATAATTTTACAACTATAATTTGAGCTACGACTCGCTAACTTCCTTTCCCATCGTAGAAAACGCAAATCAGTATTCTGGCAATCAGCTTTCTAGAATCCTCCTAGTATATGGGATTTTGGCATGAAAACCACTCATTATTTCTAGACATTTTTGCGTCCTTATTCATTATCTATTTACGGTTGGCCGTTCTTCTCCGCGCCCCGGTTGTTCTGAGAGTGTGGATAACGCTATCCACTGGATAACTCGTTATAATTATAGTGGATAAGCGTTGACAAAACAAACTACGCCATCCACAGGATAATGATTTATTCGCTGGTTAGCGATATCCACGCTTTACACAACTGTGAGCGCAGTTTGTCAAACGATGGGAAACGACGAGCTTTCGCAACGCAATCATTTACTACTGATCACTCAGCGTTGATCGCCAGATACTAGGGTAACTTCATGTATATTACTTAAGAGTTATTGTTCTGAATTCGTGTGAAAAACGTGACTTACTGCTCTGGATGAGTTTTTCTTTCAACAGTCCCCTTTGAATTCATCTAAAGCTTCATTACAGTCTGGTTAATTCCCTGTTGAGGAATTAGAATTGATGAGAACTGTGGCTTTTACGCTTGAGGAAGACGTAATTATTCAAATTGGTATAGAATATGAAAATTAGCAACTGCATTGCAAATAGAAACGCTGTAGGTCACAACTCCTTAGACTTAAGAGGGCCACTTAAAAATCTTTTTTGTTTCTGCTACGGTTGAATCCCACTCGAAACCTCAAGAGAGAGGCATTAATTTTTGGGGGGCCTTCCTAGAAACCGGAAAACCGTTCAAACGTCATTTCAAAACCCAAAAACCGCCAAACATGATGAAAACATTTGAATCTATCAAGCTTGACACAGTGACGAAAGAATTGTGTTCTTTTCCGCTTATAAGGGATCAAGAGAGTTTCATGTGAAATCTTCGATCGAGATGCCGTTCTCTTCCGGGAGAACCGTACGAACACCACGAGACCCCGTGTGGTGCCTCTGTGTTAGAACGCAGAGATCCAGGCTGACTTCTTATGAGACAGAAATGTAGCCGAAGACCCTATCATCGTGAGCTAGTAATTAGGGTGGCTAGAAATCCTGTTCTTTATTCGCACACGTGTTTTGAAGTCTTTGAGTGACCAGCTCTCCTCCTCAAAGAATCTGACCCACGATCGTACTAATATCTACGACTTGGGAGAAATTGAACCTGGCAGTTACTTGCCCTAATTGATGACGAGCATGACTCAATTGACAAACCGGGGCAACTCAAGCAATCTCTTTCCGTGGACAGGATCCGAGTCATCTTCGTGCTCATTAGCACGCGTGTGAGACACTTTGCATCAGGCTGACTTCGTGGCTTTCAGGAGCCAACCTCTACGCTTACGCTGCCTCGAGTAGACTGATGGGGTGGAATAAGTGTAAATTCTTGTATACTGTCATTTGCATAATCCCCAGGGTACAATTACCAATGTAAACTGAGTTTGCATGCTGAAAAGGCTTACGTAACGGAGGTTGCAAGAAAGGGAGGGGGGCTCCTTTTCTAGTTTGTTGTTCATAATCCGTTTGTGGTTTATCATAATAACTTTTTTGGTATTTTTCACCTTAGGAGAATATCATGCATGTGTCCTTTAATTTATAAATGTATTGTGTTGTTACACGGTACCGTTTCGTTTCTGAGGAAACGAAACAACAACAGGTTATTTTTGTTGAACATGTTTACCTTGTGAATTACAAGCGTTACTGGCTGGCAACATTCATACTCACTATGTCAATAAATCACTCTGAAACGGAAAACGGTACCATTTCTTCGTTGAACTAAACAAAACGAACTGCTTTCATGGGCTTAAAATATCCCATTAGTGGACAAATCGCGTGGTCTGGCGGTCTCTCTACATCCAAAATAAACTTGCTTTTCCTTTTCCGAATAGAACTCCATTGTGTAGTTTTCTTGTGTATTTTAATAACGAGAAACGAGAGTTTCAGTCGTAGTTCCCCATTTTCGAATAAAGCAGCAATTGAAATGTTCGGAACGCCACCGTTTTGTTGCGATGACCGAATTCCACCGTATTTACATTAACAATTACGAACTTTACTCTGATTGGATATTACAAATCACTATGTAAATAGACACAATTTATTAGAATGTTTGCTCTGTACTAATTTTGTATCTAACAATTAGACTACAAGCCCGAGTTTTTATGAGCGAATAGTCAACAAGGTGTAGCCAAGTTGATTTGCGCTCATAGAAACCGAGAGCCAGTAGTCTAATTATTTTGTTATAGTAGTGTAGAACTTCCAAAGGATTACAGCACAAAACCTACGATTTCAGTTAAGCTTGAAATTAAGAATAATGTTCAGTTTCAAGAGCAGCATGTGCGTGATTGTTGTCTATCAGTATTTATAGTTCACCACTCAATTTTCTACAATTCCTATTGGTTGAAATTGATCACGTGACATGATAGTGTTCATCAGCAGAGGGACACTATCTGCCCATAGTGCCCATCCGAGCAAAATACCAGTATGGATAGTACTCAATGTTGAAAATTTCTCCAGAAACAAACAGACGCATAAAAATTGAAAGGCACAGTTTGTTTGGTTTTTATCTGTTTTCTTCCTCAAGTTTTACATAAGCATGAAAACACATCAAAGCAATGGGTTTAAAAATATTCTGTACATGAGGTTCAGAGCCACCCTAAATTTTCGAAACCACTGGTCTCATATCATTGCATCAGTAAGTACTGGGATGTCCTGCTTCCAGAAATGAGACAATTCATGGCACTTGTCTCTCCCATAAACACCTTTCTTATCGTGCACCACTGTCATCTTGGAAAGTTTGTAACAGATGACAAAATATGTTGCAATGACTGTTGCACTCTTATGTCATGTTGTGTGCAGTAGAAATGCACAGTTTTTCTGATATATATATTTTTTTGTCAGACCAAGGACAGACTGGATAAACAAGACAAGATGCAACAAAAAATCTAATGAAGCAAGGGAGCTTTAGAATTGTTGATGGATTGAATGTCTAAATGCAGCATTTTTAACTACAAGAAGCCATAGCAGTCACCTTGACTGACAAGGAAAATATGGTGATTTTCATGCGCTTTAGGAAGGCGTGGTTACCATAATGGTTAGTGCCCTGGACCCTGGATTGATCAGCCCAGGTTATAGCCCTGATTGGGAACATTGTGTTGTGTTCTTGAGCAAGACATTTCACTCTTACAGTGCCTCTCTCTACCCAGGGGAACATTGTATATAAATTAGCTCTGGCAAAGTTAATGCTAGGGGTTAACCCTGCGATGAAACTTTCGTCTTTCTCTAACACATCACTATCCAGTGCACAAGTCTTGACAAAACAAACCGTGCTATCCGCTGGAAAGTGATTCATCCGCTTGAGAGCATTATCCACCTTTTGAACAACCTGGGCCTGGTTGAAGTTAATGAAGTGTTCTTGTTTCTAACATTTGTTAAATCTGCTTCAGATCTGGATGGACAGTGGACAAACCTTGATAGACAGTGGAGAAATGTTGAAGGACAGTGGAAAGCCCAAAATGTGCAGACCCTTGCCCAGCAGGTAACTCAATGCTTATTTTGTAACCTACTTTGCCAGACATTCCTTATCAAATTGTTAGCTGGGAAGAATCCCCTGATGGCTCATGTTGAGTGCTTTGGAACAACTAACTACTGGCATATTTATTATTAATAAATTATTGTAAGCACATTACGATTTTTAGAGCAGTTTTCAATTGAGTGTCGTAAAACCAAAACCAAAATAATCACTCTAGCCAATCACAAAGGACACAGA